CACGTCGGAATGCATTAGTATGATTGTGGTAATAACTTTCTATACCTGGTGTGTGACTGCACACGTGATTAGGATGAATAGTTAATGTGATTAAAATATAACATAAGCAACATTTTTTAAAAATATAATGTAAGCCCTTAATATGAAATAGGACAAAAAAGAATGATTGTGGCTGATTTATTTCCAGCTGCTAATTCTAATCTTTTTTAATTGTTTAAAGGTGTTAGGCAGTTTTTAGATCTTCTGTCTATGTTTCATCATTTGATGTAGTGTGTCAATATCATTCTTTTGAATTCAAGTAGTAAATTTGTCTCAGTTTGTATGTGTACTCTCAGGGAAAATAATAAATTAAAAAAAAATAATACAAGGAAAAGTATCTGGTTCTTGAAGGTAGTTAGTGAGGATGGTGATATTTACCTCATTGCTTCCTGGGAACAGGTTCTTTCCCATTCATGCTTAGATAATCTGTCGAAAGAACAGAACTACTGGAGGAGTAAAGTAGTAATTAGCATCAATGTGGTATTAGATTTAGCCTCCTAGCCATCTAAAATGGAAGCAAACTTCCCTTTTTCCAGATCTGTAATTGTTCCTGATAGGAGCTAAGCTTCTAATATCAGTGTGAAAAGTAACAATGGATCAGCAGGTGCAGGTGCTCAGCCTGAAAACGTTTGAAGAAAAATCATTTAAAGCAGTGTCAAATCTCCTTGATCGCTCAGCGTGATAGAAGATGCAGAAGGATTTTGCAACGAGCTGCAAGGATGGAGGTGGGGGGTTTCTATGGTGTGCTGAAGTGTAAGTGGCTTTCTAGGCAGTCTCATTCCTCAAGTATGTTGGCAATTAGGCTGCAGTTCTGTGAATAGAAGTAATTTTGTTGAAATTGTAAAGATGTTGATATCTGGACACAAATTTGTACATGCTTGCATTCATAAACTCAACTGAGGCACTTGTTTTGTAAACTGTTTAAAAACACTTAATTGATGTTCACTTATTTAAAGGTAGAGATGGTCTGAAGTGTTTATCCAAAGAAAATATGACAGGCTCTAGCACTTAAAGAACTCAGAGTTCAGGAAGGACAGTGCAAGGAGAACTGGGTTAGAGTTACAATAAAAGAAGATTGAGATCAGTTGTCATGTTTCAGGCAAGACCAGTCTGCTAAAGTTGGTGATGGAAACCTTATTAATCTGGGTTTTGAAAAAAAGTCTACAGTATCCATTCTAGTGTACAGTAGGAAACAGCCCTGTACCAATAAAGCAAGTGGCCAAATGAGCTCAGAAAGATATTCTGCCTTTAATTTCTGCAACTGTGGTTCCTGATAAGTCTGGTTTGAATTAGAGCAATAGAAGACAAGGAAGAACATTGGTCTTTATTTGATTACATGAAACTCAAACTGAACAAAATCACATCTTACATTAGATCACCATATGCACTTAGCCTTTGCCCTCTTGAGGGAGGAGGGATTTTGACGAAGATGGATGCTTCTCTAAACCCAGATTTATTTATCAAAGGAATGCTTCACAGTGGTCACTCGGTTCAGCTTTAAAATATCAAATTACTAAAGATCTAATTCCCCAACAAAAGCCTGTCTCTGACATCCTTTAACCTAAACAGAAAACTGGAGCAACTTTTAACAAAGTGGCCTGAGCAGAGAATCTGATAGCAGTGACTGAACTTAATAATTAAGAATAACAATAGTTTATAAGGATAAAGAAGAAATGCAGAGTCAGGTCCATAATGATCATTTTGTGAGTGTGAATCATGCTGTGGTTTCTGTGGGTAGGAGCACACTTCCTCTCCTATGTGCACCAGAGGTACAGTAGCTCCAGAACTTTGTTTTGAGCCCTTCACCATTTTTGTCTCCTTTTCCTCCTTACGTAAATGAGCTGGAGGCTGGCAAGCACCTCTGAATTGTGGTCAGGATTGTGATGGGGTTTTGTTAGTCTGTTTCTTTCCCACAGTTGTATTTTTTATTTGCAAGAAACAGAAGAGAGATTAAAGCTTTCCAGTTCTACCTAAAATGAATACCCAAATCACATACTATAGCTGTTTCCATTCTGAAACTTGAAGGTCTAGCAACACAGGGAGCTCAGGATGTAAACTGAAAGCATGAAGCAGGCAAGCAGTGCAGAATTATCCTACCAACTAGGATGAAGCTCTCAAGTTCAGTGTAGTTTTAATACAGCTCTTGTGGAGAAATAGATGTATGTTAAAATATTTGACATGCATAACAACTTCTGATATGATTTATGTGCACTTGAAGCAAATGAGCAGAACAAACAAAAACGGAGCACGCTTTTACCACATAACTAACCTCTAGCTTATTTGGCATGTTCCATCTTTATATCTCATCTGACAATAGATGACAGTCCTTTCATGAGTACATCAAACCCAGGAGGTCAAGGCAATTGTGGTTAAGTCCCAGCTGTGGTTGTTTATCTGAAGTGTATCTAAACCTCTTGAATCTGCACCACTGAGCTGGAAATCTCTCAGCACCAACCCTTCCTTCTGGAAAGGCAGGGATGAAGTCATTAGTGCTTTTTCTACAGTTAACTGCACCTGTTTTTAAAACCCAGAGACTTAGCTAGGAACCCAGTGGACAAACACAAGAAAGAAGGTGGGTTAAGATTCTACCAAACTCCAAATATGCTGTGTTGAGAGCGTGCCCTTTGCCTTTGGAGAACATTGTGTGACACAAAGGAACTACTGCAGGACCACTGCATCATTTAGTGTCTGTGTATCGTGGCCAGAGCCCTGAGGCTAATCTGCACTGTCTTCATTTTTCCCAAAAATCTAGGGCTCTGCCTCCACCTTTTTCACCATCCAGAACGCTTATATCTGATCATTGTATTAGTGAACTCACCACACTTCAACTCAGTCAGTAAAGTCTCAGTAGTTTTCAGCTGAGTTTAAAATAAGTTGTGGTAGGTGCTAGATAAATACAGAAGGGTTGTCATAGAATCATAGAATACTCTAGGTTGGAAAGGAGCTCCTGGTATCATCGATTGGTACAGCGCTTCCACAGACATGTTTGTCTCTCAAATCTGTGCCATAAGAGAGTGAATTTGTTTAAAAGAAAACTAAATGTTATGCAGAAAAGCAAGGCACATCCTAAGGAACTGAACTGATGTTTAAGCTGTTGCAGTGGTAATGTGTGAAAAAGCCAAAAGTAGAGTAGACTTTGACAAATAGTGCAAGTTTTGGCATTTGCTCCAAATATTACTGGAAGGGGATCATTCAGAAAGGATGCTGTTAAGTGAAACTGGACCCTAACCCAGATTATAGTAAATGGAAATTTTTTTACAAATTCTCAGCTGAAGAGGTTTCCAAAAATGGTTATTAAAACATAAAGTTTTGCCACTGTTAACAACCTACCCATTACAGCAGTGACCTAAAAGTGAGGGAATAAAAATTTACTGTTGGTAACAAAACTGACTAGAATATGTTCTTCACAGTCCAAAAGGAGAAATGCAAATACCATGTATTTATAGTCAGCCCTCAGAAACTGGGAAAATGAACAGTGAATGAGCTGTTTTCATTCTGCTTTTTATAACTGGAAATATTTTTCCCCATTAAACACTTGGAGGCCAGCATTCCATTTTTGTATTCAATATTTTCTTGAGTAACAGCTATTGACTGCAGCAAGGTGTTATCCCAGTAAGAACAACAGGACTTGATTTATGGCTTTTATGTTTGACAGTGTTCCTTTAGTGCTCAGAAGTACATGTGTGTCCACAGTTCTGAAATTTATTTTAAGTATAAATTTCAAGTTAATGCATTTTTAAATTGAGGAGAATTCTCAGTAGGATTTCAAAAAGGAAAGTGCTAAAATTCTGCTTCTATTGAAAGCAAAATTAAAATTCCCAGTGGGAACAGTCAGAGGGCAAGGCTGAGCACTACTGAAGATCCCACCCAGCACTGGAAGCTCCCTTAAGCTGATATCTTTGTCTCTCCTTATTAAGTATTAACCACCACAGAGCTATTGGCCTCAATTTGAGTGAAGAAAGCTTTTTGGTGACAGCAAGAACTGGCTGTGTTTAACACCTGGCTATGGAGAAGATGATCTGCACTCTTGTTATGTTTCTGCTGTTGTTCATGAGATGCTTGGGTGTATTCAGTGTTGTTTTCTACAAGCATGAAAGAGGGAGGGAAGGGTTGATCAGATACTTTTAAAGCTGAGCTATGTTTGATGCAATAGAATTCACTTCTTCCTTCAGTCTAGCATGTCTTGAGTATATCACGTGGTTTCTGCATTCTTCATTTCACTCTGTAAATTAGGGGTGAAAGGTCTCATATTTTAAAGGCAGTGGCTATGAGGTAAACCCATTGAGAATGGTGAAGTGTTCAAATTCTTATGTAATAGAGGGCAGATACATGGCTCAGGCAGACTGGAAATGATGTCCCACAAAGCAATCTGAGCATTGCACGTGTGTAGCTGCAGGGTAATCAAAGAGACTTACTCCATTTAAAGATATGATGCAGAACAACAGAGAAGTGGAAAAACATAGAAGGAACATGAAGGAAGTCTTGCAAGATGTCTCATGAAAGCTGCTGAGAGGGAAATGCTTTTTGAGACTGAGATATCTCTGGCTAAGATGATTTCATGCTGTAACGTGATAGCTGTTGGGAGACCTTGGCATGGAGCATGTGGCTAAGTGTCACGTGAGGCACTGTTGGCTTCTGGGGATAAGATCCCCTTGCTTCGTTACATTATCATTGAGAAATTCCAGGAGACTTGGAAATAAACAAGTGCACAGTCCTGCTGCTATGCCTGGAAGGACTGGGCTGGAGTGGTGTGTTTCAAGCAAGAAATTATTTCGTGCCTACTCAAGGATTAGTCTCCATGGCTTTATACATTCTCCTTCTGCAGATGTCAACGCCAGTAGGAATTACTCCTGTTGTTTTAAAGCTCTAGTAATCACTTGCTCTCGTGCCTTTGAAAGTAAGGGGTTTACTTGCCACAGTTGTATTACTCATACTCTGTTTCTTGCTTTGTTTTCTGGTAGAATACGTACACCAATGCAGACAAGCTTTTAGAGGCTGCAGAGCAGTTGGCTCAGACTGGGGAATGTGACCCTGAAGAGATTTATAAAGCAGCCCGGCATCTGGAAGTACGGATTCAGGACTTCGTCCGGAGGGTGGAACAGAGGAAGCTTCTCTTGGACATGTCAGTCTCCTTCCATACCCACACCAAAGAGGTAAGATGTGCATGAGGGAATTTTTCTGTGTTTTGCACTGTGCTTCAGGAGGCTGACTCTGGGCACAAACTAAAAACCCAGGTGACAGAAAATGACAGTCACGCCAGACTTCCAGTGGTTTGCTTGATGCATATGATTAGCTGTTTTAAACAGAAAACAAGATGTGAGTGAAAAAATATGAACAGTATGTTACACTAAAATAAAGGGACAGAATAACAAACGAATCAAATGGTGCTTAAATCACAACTAGAATGTATTGTTACAAAGCAGAAATTTGCTTATAGGAACATCAGTTGATGTTCACACTGCACACATGCTCGTAGTGTGATAGGTATCCTTAGAGAGACTCCTTTTAAATGTAATGTTAATTAGTGTAGCCATTATTATTAAGTGTTACTGGAAGTCTTACATTTTTTAATGAGACAGATTTCACTTTTCAAAATTACGGGTAAAGTGGAAACTACCACATATTAATACAATGAATCAGTGAGAACCTGAATAAATGCAGTTTAGTGTAATTGAAAAATACCAAGAGATAAGGCCGACTCACCAGAGATACAGTGGACAGGCCGTCAGATGGGAGGCCACTGGGGATGTAATTAAAGCATACTTCACATTTTTTCTGCAGACCAAAGGCCATTCAGTGATGAGTGACTTTTAAAGACAGGCTTTCTGCTGAGATGGAATTAGTTAGAATGGTTGTTTTCATGCCCTGTAGCATTTGTTTGTAGCAGTACATTAAATCAGAAAGATGCTCTCAGAATCTGAAAGCTTTACCCTTTGTTTGTTGATTTACAAGTTTCAAATGAGTTGCTTGTAGCCAGCTTCAGTGTGTTGGGGAGCACCCTTAAATAGAGGGTGTATGCACAAGTGTTCCTTGAGTGTGTTTTGAATAATATCTTAAAAGTGTCCAGTCCATATATACCCATTCTGATGACCAATGTCATTAATGTCAATGTCTTTGTCATTCTAATGACCAATTTTAGAAGCACTCCCAAATATACCCTACTGTTGACCAATGTCATTATATTTGGGAGTGCTTCTTTTCCTTGTTCTTGTTGAGATGAGTGTTCATCATTAACACATTCAGCACTTCTGCTCAGCAAACTCATACCATTTAAGTGTTCTGTGATCCTTAAGAACAAAAACATTGTATAAACACGATGGTTCAGTGGTGATAGATTGGTGGAGGGGGAGAAAGCAGCACTGTACCTATTACAGCTATTGATACATGAAGGTACAAATTTTCATAGCATCTTAGAATGATTGTTCTGCTTCTGTTATGTACAAAAAAAAAAAAAAAAGAACTAGTTACTCTAAGCTTGTGAATAGTGCTATTGTTTCCCAGGTAGTTCACACACTTGCAGCTACACTGGTTTGTCACAGGGGAAACTTAATTAGTTATTTCCTCAGTCAAATTATTTCATAACAGTTTCCTACTGTGATTAACCTCGCTTCACCTATGCAGCTGGTGACTAGTAACACTAAAATAGACATGACTCCAGGAAGCTATTAATGTAATGTTTTCTATCATTTAAATTTATTCTGATGATTACTGGTACTGAGTTGCCTAATGTGGGTTTAGGAACTAGAGCTTCTCTATATGGTTTTGGGTTGTGGTGCAGTACACTCACCTCTGCTGTTCTTCAACCAAAATGGAACTAGCCAGCCTCGCTCACCTCATTTCAGTGAGCCCCATCCTGGTATATAAAAATGCAGATGTATAAAAATGCCAACATTTTTCAACTAGTAAAAAATCCAGTCTTTTGTAACAGCATCAGTGCTGTTTACTAGGTACTGAGAGTGAGCCCTAAATCTCTGCCTCACTGTTACTCGCCCATGGGACAGATGGACACTGTGATGCCTCTTTGGAAAGCCCAATAAGTATCTGCAGTCATTTAGGGAGTTCTGGAGTGAACAGATTTCTCTGGGTGCCTAAGCTCTTTCACTACATAGAGACAGATGGGCGAGCTGTGGCATAAAAGTGGGACATGATCAAAGTCAGGCTGGACCGAGAGGTCTGTATTCACCTGGCCAGATAACAGCTGTTGGGTTGGGTGCAGAGAGGCTGCAAAAGTTATTGTGCTTTCCAGCTGCATCTCCAGTATGGGAGGAGGCACAGTAGCTCTGCAAGAGAAGGGAAGTTTTCACATCTTACTTCCACTCATGGAGAGGCCAAACACTCTGCCTTTTGGCATATTCACCACTTTTCATTGTATGTCACTACCTGCCTCCTTCAGTGATGCGTTTCTGCATCTTGAGAGCACTGGTGAGAGTCACACAGTCCAGTACCTCAGCTAAAAATAGTAAGTGAAGAGATTGCTGTGGTTTTAGTATTTGTCTGCCAGCTGTGGGGATCCCCACAGACAAAGTGAGGTCACTGAAGGCTGATGGAGAGACCTGGCAAAAAGGGCAAACCGTTACAGGAGAGTCTTAGAGCATATTTGGATCTGCGCTGGTCTTTTTGCAATAGATTGGCTGTTGTAGAAATGACTCATTACTTGACCTTGCTTGGACCTTGTAAAATGGCAATTTAACCAATGTCATTGTCATTCTTCAGCATGAAAAGCAGATAATAGAATTCCTTAAAAATGAAGACATATAAACATCCTTCCTTTTCCACCCTGCCTCTGATAGAATTATACTCTTTTTCTGTTTCGCACCAGTTGAGCTCACTTATTTCTCTGTGGACTCTGACTAGGAGATGTGCTCAGCCATGGTGAGAACTCCCAGCCTGCAGGACTGGGCTGGACAGGGTGCAGGTTCTAGCTTTATTCACTTGTACAGGCCAGATCTGCACCATCCATGCTCATTTTATGAAACTGCATAAAAATAAATCCACTGTATTAGGTAACATTTTAGATAGCATTAGACTCCAGTTTTAAAGTAGAATTCATCAAGCAAGATTCCCTTAGAGTCAACAGCAGTTTATAGTTGAATTAAAGGAGTGGTTTGGAGTCAGATTTAAATTCCAGCAGATGTCAAGGCAAGAAATCCTTTTGCTGCAGCAGTAAAATAGAGGAACATCTGAGATCCATCGCTGCTGTTTTACCAGGAGGCATTCCAGTTGGAGTGCCAACACATATCTCCCTGATTAACCTTGCCCTCCGACCCACAGCACTGAGCCTGATACTGCACTGAACTCTGCCCATCTAAACCCTTCACCTGGGAGTGTCCTGAGGCAAGGAGAGAGCAGTTTGGTTGGCATGCTAGTATGTTTAACACCTGACATTTGGTGTTATTCAACAAGGCGTTATTAATTACTTAATAATAACCATCATTATTCATTTCAACATTTGTAGTTCTTAAAGAAAACCATTCCTTAAACGATTTGTAACTGTTTCTCTTATGTCCTTGGAAATTAATAAACAGTTGGTTTCGTGTTTTTTGGCAAAAATGCAAGAAACTACAGACCGGCTGTATTTTTCATCTACGTTTCCCAAATACTCATTATTTCTTGATATATTAATCTACTGAGACAGAGCTGGTGAAAGGGGGAGTTAAGTAGAAAAAATCAGTCTTACTGACATGGTCTTTATGGAAATATTCGAAATATCTTCCTGCAGCAAACATGTCTTCCCAGCACAGATGAATTACACTTGTGACACAGTAGTTCCCAGATGTGGCTGAGTGCATGGACTGTGAGCTTCTCACACTTTCCCCTGTACTCTGCCCACCTCTGCATCTCCACATGTGACAAGCAGCATTCCAAGAATCTGATAAACTTTTGGCTTTTCCCATTTCTGAAAAGCTCTCTTACCAAATGAATGTTTCTTTCTGAAATCTTCCTTGCTATAATTTCTTCAGGGCAATTCATAGCATTGAGTTAAATTTAAATCCAGACACCCCATGAGCAATTAAAATTAGAATTGCGGGGATGTTTTTGTACCCCCAACAGACTTGAATCACTGCTCATTTCATGTCAAAGCATCATAAGAGAAAGGACTCTTCATGCTAAGCAGTGACAGTCAGCTGAAGGAATATGAAAATGACTATCAATTAAGCATACCAGTAATTCAGGATGGTTATGACTGTTTGGGTTTTTTTTAATTGGCCTCACGACATGAATACATGCAGTAGGCTGAAATGATGATTTTCTGATATGGCAAAAACATTTTAGTGACACAAATTTAGAGCTGTCCCCTTAGTGACTGTTAGTATCATAACTTATGAGTGATGTAAATTTCATATTGTCATTTCTACAAGAGATGTTGTGTCCCATTGTCTTGCAGCACTCATTATGCTCTCTTAGTTTATAGTCGGTATTTTCTTTCTTTTTTGGGCCAAGGCATTCCTGATAGTGTGAGCAGAAACTTGCTACCTTGGGAATCAAATCCAATTATCAGTTTGGCAGGGTAAAGTTATAAATTATTGTCAGTGGGATAAATGCATTCAACAGACTTTACCTGAGTCACATCTCTCAGGATTAAGGGTGATTGAATTCAGGTTCTTATTTCAGATCTGAATCAATTAGTGGCAGGATACTTGATGTTTCAGAGAACAGTTTTTGAGTCTCCTGGAGCAAAATGTGCAGATGTGATAAGACCACACCCTGAATCATAATGCAAATAATAACATCTTGTAATTCTTTGTCTGAATCTTAATATTTTACATTGGTCTCACAGCTTACGGTTCTGAGGGATACATTACCATTCCACATATAAAAATGTAGACATGAAAGAACATTGTCAACATTTTGATTTAGATCAATTTACAGAACGTGAGTCTCACCTGAACTACAAAGCAGTCCTGTGAAACCCTCATAGCTCTTCAGGGTATGAAAAGCACATCTTACTACCTCTAAAATTCTCATTTTTCAGTGGGTTTCATGTTCCCACCTTTGTACCTGGAGTCCCAGGTCCCAAGGAGAGGCAGGTTCAGGTCCTGTGTGATGCTGACCCTTGCTGGGCCAGAGGAGCAGTAGGAGAGGAGCTCAGTGCTTGCAGTTCCAGGTGGAGCGTGCCAGCACTACCTGGCTCACCCACTATGGGTAGATAAGC